GTTGTGGTTTTGGCTATAAGCAGGAGTCGATGAAGTTGAACATGGTGGAGAACTTTCAGGCTGGTCATCACTCACACCATTCTTGGCAAATGGAATCCGATTCTCTCCAGACTGCCCACTAGAGGGCGACTCGACACAGAGATTAGCGAACTGGCCAGACGTGGGGCTGGCAGCTTCCTTTCTGAACCTGTACCTTGGCCGCTGCCTCTGTCGCTATTGTGTGCCTGTGTTCCTGAGTTTTGATTTTGAAGGTCTATTTTATTGTTTAGTATACCATTCTAAATCTGTTTTAGGTTAAAAGGGCAAAAAAAACCTAAAAGAAAAGCCTTAATTCAGCCATATCATTGACCAGCATCGCCCAGGGAGGTGGAAGATGAACTCCGTTGCTCAGATGGCATCCAGCTCTCACCAGGCGGGCAGGGTGTGAGGGCTCCTATCTCGGCATACAGGCTGGGATTTCAAAAACATCAAACAGAACAGTTGTGGAGTAGAAAACTGATGATTGTCACCATGATTTTGCCTAGAATCTATTTTTCTTTGCTGAAATGGGAACGTCTTCGTTCAAATACATTGTCACCAGATTTCAGACAGCAACTGTAATTTAAGCATGAATTTAGAAACTCTGTGTGGTGGAAATTCCGATCTCGATTAAAGAATAAAAACAAATACTTGAGGCTGAGGGAAAATAAAAGGGGATGATAGAAGTTTTCAGGCAACAAACTCAAAACATACTGTCATGCTAGTTCTAGCTCACTCACCCTGTGGAAATGGATTTCACCTGGGAATATAATCGCTTGAATATGAAACCTCTGCTGGATTGTAAACTTGGGGGAATGAACGGTATATAAGTTAATTTATGGCACACAGTAGATATTCAGTAAGTGCCCTGTGGAATGAAACATTTTATCAACAGCAATCTGGAAACATCTGTCAGATGATAAAAATAATTTCATCAGGAGAGAAAGTAAAGTTGGAATTATGGCCTCAGTCTTAAATTTCATGTAAATAAAGTAATCTTAATCTATATTTATACAGTAAACACATGTACATATATAAATTTCTCTACTTAAAAACAATTAGTTTACTTACATTTTCCTTAGTCTTTCTTCCTCTTTTTGGTACATGTATCTTTTGCTGGCCTGGAGTTGCCTTAATATTAAAGAGAATCCCCATCTCTCTTTATTTATATATACATTTATAGGTTAAAATGCTTTTAGACTTAATGAGGAAGAGATTATGGTAAGTAAGTAAGGATTTATGGAATTAAGTCAGGCAGTTTTAAAAAGGTAAGTAGAAGAAATGGTTATTGAAATCACTAAAGGACAGCATTGTCGCAATAAGTACTAAATTGAATAATGTAGGATGTTTGCCAAGATTTTGGAATTAGGACCTTTCCTCTTTCTTAGTAGGGATGAGCCTTTCCTTTCCATTTTTTAATTTAGATTTTGTAGTTTTCCTTTGCTGTATTTTTCTTTTTCTTCCCCTATTTTTTTTTTTTTTTTTTAGTTTTCTTTGGGGGAGGAAAGTATGGTGGCAAAATACACATGGACCTAGTGAATAAAACCCTTGAGCCAAGCTAAGTAATTTTTGAATATTAACTTTTAAATATTTTCCATTTAGAAATTCAGAGGACTAAGCAGAGAATAGTGATACATCCCTAAAATGTTGCCTATAGTCAATGAGAAGTAAGAAAAAGCAATAATTGTTGGCTTTAGCCACAAAGCTATCAAACACACACTTAAAATATAAAATTTTTTGTAGACTTTTTCACTGGCATTAAATTTTGCTCTAGTTATTTGTTGTAGACAATTATTAGCTATTTTGACAAGCAACATACCTAATTAAAAACTATTTTTCGCTTTATCAGATAATAAGGAAAGACAACCCATAACCTCACTCAATCAGATTAACAATTTGTTATTTCAAGCGTGAAATCTAAACTGTGATTCAAACATAATTATACATCAGACTTTATACCATCCATCCTTTTTAAATAGGAAAACAGTTCTTTGGAAAATAATGTCATTTGTTCCTGTCAAATGCTTCCCTGGTTTGATAATTAATAGTGATTTTTTTTCCATCCTCAGAAGAGACATTTTTTAGTAACCCAAATCATCCTTAGTTTGGTTTTAAGTGGCCCAGGCAGGAAGCTCCATGCGGCCAAGTGTTGTACTCCAGCACCAAGTTACAGTGCCTGATGTAAAATACAGGGATGCTCAACTGGTATTTGCAAATGAATGAGAAGTGAAATGGTGATCAAAGTCAATTACATCATATTGTTGAACATAGGTTAGAAGTATTTCTAAAGTTCTATTTGCTTTTGTTTCAGAAGATCAAGTGGCTTCCTACGGCCTTCTGGCTAATGTGTATGTCATGTTACATCATGAACAATGAGTTCTTTTTTTTTTTTTTTAACCAAGGGATGTGTATCTTATGATCAGAATTCCAATTTGGCAAACATATATGCTAAGGACGATCAATGCTCATTATCTCAAGTCATTCCAATTTGGCATGATCTACTGCTGTTTTAAATAAACTGCATGACTATAGATGCACCTCCAATTTTATTTACTGGAGGTAAATAAAATATTTATTTTGGATATTTATAAAAAACAAACCCTAACTACACATTCTCTGTGGTATATTGGAAGGCCAGACTGGAAGCCAGAGGATGTGGGTGCGGCCAGGTTCTACTATTCACCAGTAACCTGTGTGAGCCCGAGCAAAATACATAACCTCTCTGGTTGGTTCTTTATTGATCATTCAAAAGGCTGTTGTGATATAAGAAAACTATAAAGTGTTCTATGTGCACATGGCTTTTCCTCACTATTCAAATTTCAAAAGAAAATAGTTGAATTGCTGACTTTCCTTGGCCAGTGTCTACAAGAGAGTGAGACTGTTTCGACAAGAAATTAATGGAAACAGACACTTGGCACATACTCTCCTTGTTACCAGAGCTAGTCACATCAGGATAATGCTTGATCAGATGCTTGCTTCAAAGCAGTTGGTTGTGCCAGAGTGGAGAAATTTCTAGTAAAAATGTTTAGAGACTAATTAAGTCAACTGCAGGGACCTGCTTGGTATACCACCTTCTGTGTGTGGTCCAACTCAAGACATACATTGATGCTGCCATCCCTGTCCTCTTAGGATTGGTCTCAACCTTTGAGCTTACACAATACTGTGGTAATTTGCTCTGGCTGTTAAGACATTCAGAAGAATTAAATTAGCCATACCTGGAACGGCATTATTTTGTGGCCATTCAAATAGCTTATACTCCAGGGGTCCTCAAACTTTTTAAACAGGGGGCCAGTTCACTGTCCCTCAGACTGTTGGAGGGCCGTTGGAGAATGTGTTGGCACACATTCCACACATGCGCACTGTGGGCCCTGGATGAGTTGGCTGCCAAGCAGGACAGGCAGCGGTGGCAAAAACACTCAGGGTGGGGGGGCGGATAAATGTCCTTGGCGGGCTGTAGTTTGAGGACGCCTGCTATACTCATTGACATTTGTCCCTGTTCACTGAACTAGGTAACACGGAGGGCACTCTCACAGTAGCTGCAACCTCTAGTGGCCCTCAGAGAACCTTATCTATGTTCCTGTCATTCATGCAGTGCACCTCACACTGGGGATTATTTTCCAGGGGGTACAAAAGATGTATTCAAAGGCATAAAAGTATCAAGTTAACTAGTTGGTAAGTAATATAAAACATTATTTAAAAAATATTTAAACATATTATGGAGGAAAATGAAGCATTTACATGACTTTTTAATGTAAAATGTTAAGACTTCAAAAGAACTCCGAGCTTGGTATATTCCCAGACAATTCCAGGTTCACACATGTATTCTCTGCATTAGGTGCAGTTCATTGAAAAGGCTTAGGAAGTGCTACATACGTGCATTCTGCCAGCCCCCAGTCCCCAAAGTGCCTCCCTGTACAACACCAATGTCAAAGATTTTTTAATGGAGCATTTTCTTTCTTTTTTTTTTTTTTTTAGCTGAAGACTTTTGGCTTAGAGGAACAAAGAAGAATTAAAATGTAAGTTTTCCAAGGGATGTTCTAGAAAATTCTTTAAAACTTAAAAAAATACCTTAGGATCAAGGGAAAAAAGATTTTTAAGGAGGATGCTGTTTGTGGGGGGAGGGGAATGTCTAGGATTCTGATATCAAGCGTTGGGGAGCAGTGATCTCAGTAGAAGGCCTAACAGGCATATGAAAGGTGGGCATTAGTCAACTCTCAGGGCAGTACAACCAGTCCACTTATCCAGACAGACCAATAAAAAAAGTTGAGATTCATCAATAAGAGACCTTAGAAAATAATGTCTGCATGAGACTATATAAAGAAAATTATTTCCGTAACTTATTTGCTATTCATTTAACAGCAATTATACCTGTTTGAGTTTGAAAAACCATATACAGAAAATCCAAACACTCTAAATTTACAAAAACTGATCAACATTTTGTTTTAGACACTGAAATAAGCGTGAGTAGTGTAAGCATCAATGATTAACGACTATAAACTCTTAAAGGTTATGTTTTGAAACAAACATGAAAACCATTAAGAAATTCTAAGCACACTAAAAAAAAGAAATGTTTAAAATTATTTTTAGCAGCAGGGCTGCTTGGATTTCAACTAAGACCAAACGTTGTTTTCTTATGTGAGATATAATGACCAGATTCTGTTAATAAAGAAAAGTTATTCTTTAAAGCCTTAAGTTAATTTCTAAATATTTGGGTTGGTCTTTCCAGTGTTCTTTTTTTCTTTTAAAAATAGAATAAAATTTAAAATGTTTTTTTTCTTTAAACAATAAGTTGTGCTTTAAATTTGGTCCAGCATTTTCCTGACTACTTCCCTGAATTACATATACACACACGCGCACACATATGAACAAAGTGCTTTAGACCTAGGCAAAACCTGGACATTCCTGGGAGATTAAGGAATATTAATTAATTTGAAGTCTTAAGGGGGGTTTGGAATTATTTTTTTTTTGTTTTTTCTTGGGGAAAATTGAGACGAAGAGAGCTTGTAGAGGCTCATCCAGGATCACAGGTCTGGACTCAGAGCCTTGATTCCTGTGAAACAAAGTGGATTCAAATGACCTGAGTTCTAGCACAGACTATACCAACAGGACCACCTCCAGGAAATGACTTAATTTCTCTGGAATTCACTGTTCTCAGTAGAAAATGCTGGAAGTGGCTTTCAACAGGGATAGTCCTGACCACCCCGTAGTGTGGGAGGGGGACTGGAAATGTAATGGGATGTTTCTAGTTGTTGCAATTACTGGGAGGTGCTACTGCCATCTGTGGCTCTGGGTTCTGTCATTTGCATCCTGCAAAAGGAACAACTTCCCTCCACAAATGGCAGTGTCCTCTGCCTCCTCTCCCCTCTCCCCATACTGGGTCACCATTACCAGGCAAGGGCTCTTTTCATGGTAACTCATTTCCGAACCAACTCTATCTATATGGGGGGGTGGCAGTCTCACTTAAATGGCTCTGCTTTTAAAAGTCTGTCCAAAGTCACTTTTTGGAATCCCCATTTTGGCATATCTGCATTCTATTTTTACATCATTAGTTAGTAAGGTTATGTTGAATACAAGTGGAAAATACAGTCATATTAGGTGGCCAAAACACAATATATATATTTTTTAAAAATGAATTTCCGTATGTGGAGTGCCATTTAACAAAAAAAGTTTAGTTGTTCGATATAAGCTTTTAAATAATTTCAGATTTTTAATAAAATGCATTCCTTTAATAGGCTGTGGCTTGATATATAATTTACTGGCAAAATTTCAAGCTTAAAATCCAAATGTTTTGATATCTGGTCATTAAATCTTGCCTATTTCTATGACTTATAAATGAAACCACAACTGCCACAACTAAGCAGAAGCAAAAAAGAAAAATACACTCTATGAATTATATCACAAGTAAATAAAAAATACTGTATTCCTTTAGACAAATGTACTTATAAGAGCTTTATAACTCAAAGCGAGATATGCGAGATGGTTTAAGAAGAGGTTGCAATTTTGCAACAGGAAGTCTGTACATACACCTCCTCCAGGCAGTAGCTGTGAAGGAAATACCTGTGTCTTAGAAACTTGTTTCCACGTGTTCGTGACACTTGCATCCAGGCCCCAGTATTTACACAAAGTTATGCATTTTGCAAGCTCAAAGTACCTTATTCCTTAGAAGTATGAATGCATGCAATGACATTTCATCCTTTCATGTGCAAATTCTAAAATTTGTTATAACATAAAAGTTAAAACTTGAAAATCTGCCTACAATTTGAAATGAAAGGATCAAAAATGTCAGACATTGCAGAATACTGGTTCCTAATAGAGCTCTCTTTATTTGTTCACTGTTCTTCAGTCATTTTTGTTTGTTTGTTACAAAATGCAGTCTTGACTCTTTATTTAAACAGTACTTAAACTAAACTGTTCATGCCATGCAAAAATAACATTTTATGCACTTTTTTGGGGGCGGGGAGAGGGCTTCCCATTTTTAGTTCACAGGCATTATTAACCACATTTTTAAGAAACAAGTTTGTTGTTTTTGTTTTTATTATTGCTTTTGTAACTAGTCACATGCTGGTTTCACGTGTGGGACAATAACCTGTGTCTCCTGGGTTGGAATGAATTTCTGGGGCAAACAAGTGGTTTTCCATCTTGCACCCTTCTTGACTACTGTCTTTTTTGACCTCACCCGCAGCATGGTAAATGTCCTGCCTACAGTTGTGACCTGTATTCTGGGGGGAGGAAGAGCCCACACAGCCCTCTTCTCTTAAAGGGTCTCTTCCGTCACTAGGCTTATCTGCAAAGCAATTGGGGCTGGAGTCCGCCTGCTCGTCCTGCCCTGCCCCCCGGAGCTCTAAGAAGTCTTCATCTTCGCCAGTATCTATTTCAGTGAAGCTCCTCCTCTCTCTTGAAGAGAAAGGAAACAGTTTCTGCTTGGGAAACCTAGGGGACAGCCCTTTGGAAGGTCCCTGACAGTGTGCTGCAACCTCAGCACCCAGCAAGGGTCTGTCTCCCTGGGGGAGGTTTTCTTCTAAGAGGATGGTACTGATGTGCTGTGGGGTGCTGAGCGAAAAGTCAGCTGTGGTTACGGGCAGTGGCCTGGCTGTGCTGGGCGGGGTCTGTGGCGCACTGCCTCTATTTTCCTTAAAGTTCACTTTGAGGGATCTGGACTTCAGTGGGTTGCTGCCTTTTAGAGAGCTCTTAGGACTGTCTGCGGCACTGTCAGACTGCAAGGGACCGTGGAGCCCGCACTGGGAGATGCTGGCGTCGAGGTTCACAGTTATGTCGAGCGGGGCATAGTCCAGCGTGCTCTCCCTGGCAGCAGGCCCTTTCTCTCTGGACAGGGTTAGAAATGGGGGGCCCCTGGCTCTTTGGTGCTGCTCCTCCGGCCCTGGGAGGTCGGGCGGGAACTTCATCTGCAAGTGAGACGCGGAGGGTGGTGGCAGCGGGGATCTCTCCGTCTCGGTGAAGTCGGTGGCACAGCTGGTGAAGCTGTCGATGCTGGAGGTGCTCTTCATGTCCACGATGACCTCGGTCTGCGCCACGGCCAGCTGCTCCTGCGGGCAGACCACTTCTTCCATTTCTATCTCTTCTTCATACGCAGACGGCCTCTCGGGCTTTTCTTGGCAGTCCGGGTTTGGGTGAGAATGAGGCTGTGTCTTGGTGATTTCGTTGTACAGCATCTCCAGTTTCTGGGCACTCAGATGCTGTGGGCTGGAGGAAGATGTGTTGTTCAGCTGCTCGTGGGAGTCTTTTTGGCTAACCTCCTGGTACTTATTCTCGTAGGACTTGTTGGAGCTTGTTTCCGACAGAGCCTTCCTGGCCCACTTCCACCGGCTCGGGGACAGGTGATTGTTGTCGGCTGAGTCCTTCGTATTGGCTGACTCCTCGGCCTTCTCAACAGCCACATCTATCAGTTCCATACTTCGGGCAAAGGCATCTTTCAAGTTCATAGAAACGATGCTTCCATTCCTCTTGGCCCGCTCAAGAGCCTCTCTCCTTTTAATTGCCTTCTCCTGGCGTTTCTGCTCCTTGTAAAACTCAGAAAAGTTGTTCACAATGATTGGGATAGGAAGGGCAATAACTAGAACTCCAGCAATACAGCACAGGCCTCCCACAATTTTCCCTAGTAGCGTTTTAGGGTAAATGTCACCATAGCCGACAGTGGTCATGGTGATGGTGGCCCACCAAAATGATGCCGGGATACTGGTGAACTTGGTAGCTTCCTCATCTTTCTCAGCAAAAAAGACCAGGCTGGAAAATATCATGATTCCCATGGCCAAAAACAGTATCAACAAGCCCAGTTCATTGTAACTCCGTCTGAGCGTGAAACCCAGAGACTGCAGCCCTGTCGAATGTCTGGCGAGTTTCAGGATTCTGAGGATACGCATGATCCGGAAGATCTGGACCACGCGCCTCACGTTTTGGAACTGCAGCACACTCTTGTTGGACTCTGTGAGGAATATGGTGACATAGTATGGCAAGATGGCCAGCAAATCAATGATGTTTAGTGGGCCCTTGAAGAACTTCCATTTGTGTGGTGAGGACAGGAACCGTAAAAGGTACTCCATGGTAAACCAGGCAATACACACAGCCTCCACGTGGGCTAACTGGGGGTTGTCGTTGAATTGTCCAAATTCGTCCTTTCCCTGCAGCTCCGGCAGTGTGTTGAGAGACAAAGCAATGGTAGAAAGTACAATGAACAGGATAGACACGATGGCCAAGATCTGGAAAAGAGAAGAAAGTCCATGTCAGCAAATCCTCTTAGTTGCTTAACAGCTAGAAGACATAAATGCCAGTGATTCTTTAAATGATATGGAATGTTCCAAGTTATTTCAAGAATCTTCTAAGGAAAATTTCAACCTAAACTTCCCTAACTAATACACTTATTTAGAAGCCTAATGTACACTTAAATTCCAGGACCTAAGCAATCTGAAGAAAATCCATTCCCCCTCCTTGCCCATTGTTCTTAGGTGCACTTGTGTGGGTACCTACCATTTGGATGAAGGCCCCATATGACTGGAATAGTTTTGGGGGAGTAGTCATCTCTCCTCTCTTAGTTATCTGTAATTTTTCTCTCTTAACCTCTTGGTTTGTGATTTCTTAAGTGAATTGTCATACATGCAGCAAAAACTATGCAGAATGATTTAGAAACTTCATGATCTCTAGAAATTACATTCTACAATTGAAAACACAAACGCAGACCTATATGTGGAGAGAGAATGTGGCACTCAGCACAGCCATGCTTCTCCTAAGAACAGATACTATTTATGTGGTAGGCACTGACTGACATCAGAACCCAGTCAGGACAGCTGTTGTCCTGGGAAGTGCGGACTTCTGGAAAAGGAAGATTATGAGCTAACTGCATTCAGTCCAGGAAGGTGTCATAAGGAAGAGCTTGGACAATGTCCACGGTGCTCTCAGCACAGGACAGACATTCTAGGCAGAGGAGACAGCAGCACGATATCGAGTATGGAAGGAAAGAGGGAGAGCTCAGAAAGAAGTTAGAAGAGGATCCAGTGGTTGGGTTTTAGAGTCAGGCAGTCTGAGCTCTGACCCAGGCTTCATCATGTACTCTGTGACCTTGGGCAAGTTATTTAACCTCTCTGTGTCTCAATTTACAAGTCTGCTGAATAAAGGCAAAATCTCAAAGCTACTTCACAGTTGCTATAAAGATCACATGGTACATGGCCATTGCTAAATAAAAGAAATGACTCCAGACTTCGGTCTGGAAGGATGAAGGCTAAGAATAGGCATGTGAGGTATCTGTGAAACCGTGCAAGATCCAGACAACCCAAGCAGGGATTTCCTCACCAATATCCAGTGTTCTAGACATATGGGGCAAAGCAAGAAGATTAAGATTTAAGGGTAGTGTGAGGAAGCATGTCTTTGCTTAGTCAAGATCGTGCATTTGGACACACAATTCTTGGTGGAGTAGCAAACCTCTCTTATCTAGGTTAGGTCTGTCTTGGTTTCATCTGACCTTTGCCAAAACCTTGGAAGGTGTCACTGGTCTCAGCTATTCTATGTACCTCTGAGAAAAATATCCTGACAGTGACTGTTTCATTTAGAGATTGTGTATCTAGTGCACTTTTCAAAGGAAAATGATTAAACATCTTGAGGCCACGTGACTCAGTATATATCAGACTGTAAAACTAATTAGTTTACATCAGGACTTCTGACTCCTTTCTCCTTGCGTTTTCTTCTCTTTATCCCTGTAGGTTACTCTACTTCCCTTCTTTTGCCTTCTTTCTCCTCTTATGCCTCCTTTATACCTTTCATTGTTTTCCCTTCCTCTTCTTCCAGCTTCCATCTTTCCTCTTAAATTGCTATAAAGTGAAACCACAGCATATCTTTCAGACAGCAAAGCATGTTGCAGATAGCAAAGAAAAGATTGGTAGATCTTAAACTTAAAGAACACTGTTTTATTACTAGTGTTTGATATATATATATATATATATATATGTATATATATATATATTTTAGAACTAGGTTAAGTACTTTTAACTTGAGTGTACTTCAGAATTTTCTTAAAATGTGAATCAGTGAATCATAATAGAAAAAAGGTTCTCATCATTTGCTCTAAGAGACTGTGAAGGCTAAAGATAGAAACTCCCTCAAGAAGGTTTAGATAAATCCGTGGATAATAGATTCAGATGGTTTACTGGGAATGCTCGTCTTGAATCCCTCCCCTCAGAGGCCAATGGCAGAATGACATCTACCATATCCTGCCACTAAAATATTCCTGAAGAGGTATGGGTTAGATCCCATCATTCTTATGCTCTTACCATAAGGAACCAAATCTTGTTGGTTATTTTATCATCATTTAATCATCATTATTATTTTTTAGAGACAGGGTCTCGTTCCATGGCTCAGGCTCGAGTGTAGTGGCATGTTCACAGCTCACTGCAGCCTTGAACTCCTGGGCTCAAGCGATCTTCCTGCTTCAGCCTCCTGAGTAGCTGAGACTACAGGTGTGTGCCACCACACCGCCTAATTTCCTTCTTTCTTCTTTTTTTTTTTTTGTAGAGAGGGTCTTGCTATGTTGCTAAGGCTGGTCTTGAACTCCTGGCCTCAAGCTATCCTCCTGCCTGGGCCTCCCAGAGTGCTGTGATTATAATCATGAGCCACTGCACTTGGCCATGTTGTGAATTTTTTAGGAGGGCACTCTGTTGCTAACATACCTTTGGGCATTTTAAATATTGGGATTGCTGCATCATGCTTGTACTGATAATTTATACTCTAAATTTTCCACATTTCTGTTTATCTCTTCATTTTGAATGCATTTTACTGATGTTTATCACTTCAAAGAGAAGGGAGAAAAGTAGAAATGCAAATGAATCCATGCTATTATCTTCTAATCTTCTGGCCAAATAATAAAGTGGAAGGTCCAAGGTGGGCTGTCAATTTCCTGGACTCCACAATAAGATCTAGATTGTAGGTCATTTGGGAAGCGATGAAACACTGCATAGCACCAATGCAGTTTATTGTCTAGTTGATCACAATTTAACACATATGGCTACCTTTAACACCTGGAAATTTAGCATATATACAACGTGACTTGGAGCACATTCCTGAAGAAAAAGAATAACTAAAGGAAACACCAATCCTTAGCAACACCACATTCATGTTAAAGAGACCATAAGGCATTGAAGTGCATTATTTTCTGTTTCATGTTCAAATTCAATCTATTTAAACCCATTTGCTCTCAATTTAGAGGAATGACTTATTTTAAATATCTTGTGAAGCTTGGAGTTCTCCCAGAAAGACATTCCTTTAGACAAATTATTCAGTATATATCAAGGTGATGTGTGGTGCAATAAGCCAAATGCAAGTTTATTGTCTTATTGTAGAGCTGTTTTTTTTTTAACACAATAAATATAACAAATGTGAAATTTGCTCTAAGCTTCAGGATGCACTTCTAAACATGAATATTTACTTTAAAACAGCAAACTCTTATGGCATTTTGGTATTGCTTCATCTATCATAACCACACACAAAGTTAGGACCTCACTGATTTAGGGTTTTAATCCCTGTCATCTCCAACAACTTTTCTCCTGAGCTGGCAGGATCTAATTGTCTCTCTTGGCTTTAGCAAATAGACTTGTGTTTGTACGCGGTAAGGGAAGTGGAGATTCCAAGCAATTATCTGTGTGATGTTGGTCAAACCATTTTGGAGATTTGGATTAGGTCATCTCCAAAATTCCTTTTGCCTCTATCATTTGATGATCCCCTGTCTAACACATTTTGCTAATTTCCAGTCATGTCTGTAAACCAAACCAAAAATAAGTCACAATTGATCCTGTCATTTTGGTTGTATGGCCAAAATAAAGCGTTGTTGCTTAATAAATAAAAAGTTCAAAAGGCAAGGCTTTGAAAAATATTACTTTATGTATGTTCTAAGCGTTTAGTTACTGGGAATAGACATCCTTTCTGGATACAACTTTTTTTTACCCTCTTTAATCACTTGGATGATTACTTAAATTCTTCATTTAAATAAAAACATTCACAGGATCACATGGAGTTTAGAATAGGGCTCCCAGCATTGCATTTAGTAGGTACCAAACGTGGGTTGCATTGATTTCTGTTTGTGGGACGAAGTAAGGCAGCCAGTAATGACCTCAAATGACCAGTTTGTTGATTTTAATCCTTTGAAGATAATGGATGTTTTGTGGTGGAAATAAACACAGGACAAGGAATTAAAACACATGGCTCTACCTCTGCTGGCTGTGTGGACAGGCAGTTCCCTCTCTGATCTTCTGTTCCCTCATCTGCAAAATGAGATGCCTCACCTGACTCAGAGGGTTGTTAAGGATCCAACCGGATCATGCACAGGAAAGCATCCTGTGCAATGTAGAGTGTTGTCTGGGCACGGTGGCTCACGCCTGTAATTCTTGCTCTTTGGGAGGCCAAGGCAGGAGGATCGCTTGAGGCCAGGAGTTCAGGACTGGTCTGGGCAACATAGTGAGACCCTGTCTCTATAAAAATTTTTAAAAATTGGCTGGGTGTGCTGGTGTGTGCCTGGAGCCCTAGCTACTTGGGAAGGTGGGAGGATTACTTGAACCCAAGAGTTCAAGGCTGCAGTGAACTATGATTGCAACACTGTGTTGCAGCCTGGGAGACAGAGCAATACCTTATCTCAAAAACCCCCCCAAAAAGTAGAGTGTGATAAGTGTAAGAAATGCTAGAGATGTGTTTGAAAAAAGCCTTTGCCCACCATTGGGGTTGGAGGGATAAAATCCCATTAAACCTTTTATCTCTTGTTTTAATACAATTCCAGACCCATTTTTTTTTTTTTTTTTTTTTTAGACAGAGTCTCACTCTGTTGCCTGGGCTAGAGTGCTGTGGTGTCAGCCTAGCTCACAGCAACCTCAAACTCTAGCTCACAGGAACCTCAAACTCCTGGGCTCGAGCGATCCTCCCACTTCAGCCTCCTGGGTAGCTGGGACTCCATGCATGCACCACCATGCCTGGCTAATTTTTTATATATATGTTTTTAGTTGTCCAGCTAATTTATTTCTACTTTGTTAGTAGAGACAGGGTCTCCCTCTTGCATAGGCTGGTCTCGAACTCCTGAGCTCAAACAATCTGGCCCCCTCGGCCTCCCAGAGTGCTAGGATTATAGGTGTGAGCCACCACACCTGGTCCCAGACCTATTTAATGTTCATATTTTTAATACTTTGAAACACATTCTTTCACCTAAGCAGTAGTTTGCATGACAAACCCA